GTCTATTCTTACAGCTAAAGCTTCTTGTGCAATTTCTTCTCGACTTTCATTTTTAACGAAATTTCGTTCATACATGCACAATTGATTTGTAAGTTCATCGACCGTTTTATCCCCGTCTTTTGTTAACAGCATCCAACTAGAACGGAAGTTCTCAAACTTGGTTGGAAGTATATACAATATTTTACAAATTAACATTAGATCTGAGAGAGTATTTTCTCCTCTTGTCTTTAAACCATTATTCAATTCATTAAATAAACGCTTCAATTTGGCAATATGCGTAGAAACATCTTCACCAAGTGTCCATATGAAGGCAAAAAATTCTGTACACAAGCTAAATAGCTGGTCTTTTGAAGAAGCTTGAAACTGCTGTTTTAGAGCTTCCCATGCATCATATGCTGTTTGCTTATCCATGATTTTCTGATATACTGTATCAGTTACAGCACTAGTTATCATAGATTTAGCATAACTGTTAGCTTTTCGGTATAGTTAAGATTTTTCTTTATACTGTTTTATTTAAACTTCCGAAGTAGGACTAGAAGGAGGATCTGGTTTTGTAAGCTTGCCGTCTATAACATCTAGGGCGCCTTCGTGGTAATCCAGAATATCACGCATCTTATGACTCCATATTGGCCAATCTTCTTCACCGCTTAAATGTTTAATATGACGAACCAGTTCCATTTTAGCACTTGGGAAAGGTACTATCACATAAATAGGTTTTTTTTTATTAATATTATTTTAACTGCTTTGTCTTCTACGGAAAAAAAAGCTATATGCCTGGGCTCATAACCTATTAAAGTGTTGAATCTTCTCGTAGGTTTTGCAGTTAATAAATAAAAATGGATTGAAAATGATTGACAGTATTTATTTTATATTTTTATAAAAAACTGAATTAACAAACTTAACTCAAATGTAGTACATAGTAAACATATAAAAGAAAAAGTTAGTAACATTGTAAGCTTCAACAAAAAAAGATGCCAAATATTCTATAGTAGAAGAACATATTACGTTGCTCCAATAACCTTAAGGTCAATATCTAGGACATGTGATACCTTATTCGGGTTCAGCTAAAGACATTATGTGTAGTTAAGATTGCTTTTTTTAACAGTGACGAAATTGACATTAAACACTTAGCAGCAACTGGCTGCGATGGAACTGTGGTGAACACTGGTATTAAGGGAGATGTTACAAAAAGTGCAGAACATCTATGGCGTACCAATTATTTATCCCGATATCTATGCAGTGAATTCAAAGCCGTAGTTGATCCGGTTAACCGAAGGAATGTTTTTTTTGGACACCTGAAAAATATATTACTAACAATGTTATGTGATGACAGGCCTCATGTAAGAGAGCTTGAAAAACTTAGTAATTAGTAATTACCCTTGCCACACCCAGGCCGTCGAGCGGTGCGTTAAGTTGGTGACTAAAGTATCTACCTCCGTTTGTGGGTTTGAAGCTAGGGATGGATTCATAAGAGCAGGAAAACATTCAAGTCAAACAATGTCATCATTTAATACTAAGTCGAACTTCGTTGTGGATAAATGAATGTATGGAATGTCTTTGTTCGTATTTTTCGCATTTCTTTCTTAATTGCAACAATTAAACTATTTTATATTACAATGTATAGTGTTTTTTATAGTTGTCTCCTAACAACAACAAATGTAAATTTAAAGTTATTTTTGCAAAATTATTGCAAGTTTAATGCACCAGATAAATCTACAATAAGAAAAAATCTGATGTGTCCAACACATGACTTTCCTATCTAGTTATATAAATGTTTAGAGGATAAACTAAATATATACATTGTCCACATACATCTACCTCGAAACATTTTTCTATAGATATTCATGGAAAACGAAAATACTGAAAAATTTTAATTTCCTACAATTTTTTCATTACGGTCCATTTTAGAAAAATCATGTATAAACAAAAATTATAGAGATCGATATCGCAAACAACTTTTATTTCAAAAACTTTCATAATAAAAATCAGAATTTTGCACATTTTGTCAAATTTCTCGAATACGGACCATTTCAGGAAATTTTTACATAAAACAAAAATTACAGATAATAATATTAGAAGTAACTTTTATTTGAACAATTTTCCTCTCCAAACATAAATAACAGATATATTCCATAAAATATAAAAACGGCCTCCCATAAAGTACCCCCCCCAGATGTTCCGACTTTGTCCAAAATCTAATCGTTTCACGTCAGGCCGAAATAAACCTTAAGTTTAAAATTTAATGTTTTTTTCTTTATCTGTTTTTGAGTTTTTTTCAAAATTCGAAATTTACACATTTTCTCAAATATCTCGAATACGGTCCATTTTAGAGAAATTATGTGGAGAATAAAAATTATAGAGAATTATATTACAAACAACTTTTATTTGAACAATTTTTATAAAAAAATATTTTTTTTACATTTTGTCAAATTTCTCGAATACGGACCATTTTAGGAAAATTTTGTGTAGAACAAAAATTATAGATAATAATATTAGAAGTAACTTTTATTTAAAGAATTTTCTTCTCCAAACGTAAATAACAGATATATTCCATAAAATATAAAAATGACCACCTATAAAGTACCCCCCCAAATGTTCCGACTGTGCCCAAAATCTAATCAGCTCATAAGACGCTGAAACAAAGCTTAAGTTTAAAATTTGGTGTTTTTCTGTGTATCGGTTCATGAGTTATGCGTTATACAGACACACACACACACACACACAGACACACACACAGACATCATCGCGAAAATAGTCAAAACGGATTCAGGGGACCTCAAAACGTAAAAATCCGTCGAAAACTCGAGGTCGAAAAAAATCATGATTCCTATACTTTCCTTATATCTGTATACAGATAGGAAAGTAAAAAGCATGTCGATTGTATATATAAAGACACAATGTTGTGTATAAAAAATATTATATCTGATAACAACTTTTATATTGTATTTGACGAAAACTTCGAATCTTAAAAAAATAAACAATTTAACTGTGACTAGATTTGTACAGGATTCACTAACTAATTTTTTTTACCAGATCTTGTCCCTTCTAGTAAATTTATACTTTTATTGTCGGACGCTGCAGAATGTATTAGATCTCAGTTTCCAATCATTAACAATTTGATAAGTAACATTAAAAAGTTTTTCTTAAATCTCCATTAAGAATCCAATTTTATAAAGAAAATCTTCCAGATATCCCGCTACCGCCAAAACCAATAATAAACCGATGGGGCACATAGCTTGATGCAGCTTTATTTTATGTGGTACATTACGAATCAATAAAAAAAGTCCTTCTTGATTTAACAGATTCTTCTTCAGATGCTCTTTTAGAGTTTAATGAGTTATTTAAAAATGAACAACTACCACATTAACTTGTTTACATAAAATCAAATTATTCCTTTGTGTCAAAAGTCCTTATGAAATTTCAAAATACGTCTGTATCTTTAGTTGAAGTTGTTAAATTAATAGATAATGCGGAGCAAGCATTTAAAAAAGTTGAAGGAAAAATAGGAAAATTTATTTAAAAAAATAATACGCAGTGCTAGAAAAAAATGAGGGGTTTCAAATTTAAAAAAGTTACTAAACTATTCTCGGGAGACTTTGAATCAAACACGGGAATCAATTTAAATATTTTACCCCATTTGAATTATGCCCCTACTACATCTGTAGACGTAAAACGAAGCATTTCGATGTATAAACATAATGTATACTGATAAAATACAAAACTTTCTTGTGGAAAATTTTGAAAAATGTCTAGTTGTCAATGCTTTTAACAATGTCAACAAACAGAATATGTATTTGTTAATATACTATTTTCTTATATATGCTGGTGTTTAGGTAAGTATTATGTAATTTTAGGTGCTTATTCAAGATAATGGTAAATAAAGTATATACTTAAAAACTAACTATTGTTTTATTTAAATGTGATTATATTCAACGTCACACAAATATTATTATTATTATTAATGTTGCATTTTTACATTGCACTTTTTGTAAATATTTTTGCATATTTTTTGCAAATCAATTGCATTAAAATGCGCATTTCTTTTATATTTTTTTGGTGCATTTTCCGCATTTTTTTTTTCGGTCCTTGCTCATAAGTAACCTCTAATGTGTTCTAATTATCCTATTTGTCAGCTATTAGAGCATTATATAGTTTCTCCAAAAATATTAGAAAACTATTTTTTGTTTTGAGACGGCCCTATAAAATCACTTAAATTGAGTTACAACCTTTTTTGATGGGGGTGTCGATACTGCCGATATAGTAAATGCATACATTCTCTAACCTGTAAGAGGTTGAACCTGTTTTTTTTAATTTAGATAAAACAATATCTTTATGACTTTCATTGAAATAAACTAAATATATATATATATATATGTATATTTTCTCTTATGTGGGACATTCTGTATACAACTAACAAATTTTAAATTGTAGCCGTCTGTAACCTACGTATTCTTCCCAAACGAATTTTTTATATCTTTTATCGTTTTCCCATAAAGCTCCGTCCCGTTGATCGTGAACCACCCTGTATAGTTTTATAAAACGCAACTTTTGCCCGCATTTTAAATATTCACTTTTTCGCTCCACCCTACAGTATTAAAAAACACATTGTAGGTACATTGTGCCAACACTGTAAATTACAATTAATTTCTTAATGGTTTTGTAAAAGATGATGAAAAGCAAAATTGTTTAAATTTATTTGTTTTATATCAGTTCTTGTTTTTATATCATACTGAATTTTAAAGAAAAATCGAAACATTTTGGAAGCGAGTAATAGCTAGGTTATAAGGATAAGAATTGTACATTATTTTTTCACATAAAAACGGTTTTGTTTAAAAAAATATATAAATGTGATATGCCAAACATTTTTTGGACTACCCTATATATTAGAACTTATTTTTAAAATGTAGCCTTCAATAATCTGGTGGTACTTATAGTAAAACATGTCAAAACATCGTATATGGTGACTCAGTATATTTTTTATTTATTTTTTTTTTGACCAGGAATACGAAATTTGAGAGTGGTTGACGCCTCCATTTTTCCCTATATACCTACAGGAAATACGAACGCCCCAACAATCATGGTAGCCGAAAAGGCTTCGGACATGATCAAGGAAGATTGGGGGGTATTAGATAATTTTATAGATTCCAGTGAAAATCCTGAAATTTTGCAGAAAGCTAGTTCTGATGGTGAGTAACCTAAAGCCAGATACGGACATTGGACACTGAAATGTTTCTATATTTTTTAGGTAAACTTAGAACGGCTCCTTCCGAAGATTTTAATGCTAAGCATGAACCCAAACTTCAAAAGACTCCAGAAATGCATGACCCGGATTACTGGTAATGTTCAGAAAAAAATGTAAATAAATAAATTTATATTTTTTATTTGCTGTTTTATTTAAAATTGGGAAGTGTGTTTTGACAAAAATTCTCCACCGATTGATAATAGGACACTCTAAATTAACGCATGAACATCTGCTCAAAATGGATCCACCAAAAAACTATTATGCCTGTGACACCCCGATGACCGTTGAACATATCATCGTTAAATGTTCACCATTTCAAATAGAACGAGAAGAAAATAACGTTACAAGTGAATTAAAGTGCGCGTTAGAAAAAGAAAACAGTAATAAACTTTTCAAACTAAGTTTTTAAAAGCAACAAATTAATACAAACAATGTAATAGCCACATTTATACAATTTCGACTTACCCACTTATTTTATTATTTAACTTCAAGAAATGGTTACAATTAACATACCTGTAACAAATAAGCATAATTAATATTTAAAGAAATAAAAATAACAAAAAAGAACAATGGAAAATTAATCACAAATCAATCAAAATGGGCCCACATAATTTTATCAGTTTAAATAAAAGTTTTGCAATTTTCTAAAACACTAACACCTGCATGCATAGCTTAGATAAAAAAGACCAGAGATATAACATACACCGGTTTTAAACCTGCGCAAATGTTGCCAATTTCTAAAGAAGGGTTAACGGAGTGGGGGAACTGGGCGGCGACACGTGGCGACCCGAACTCTGTGACAGGGACCGGACTTTGTTTATTAGCATCTTAATGAACTATTAGGTTTATTTAAAAGGTGTTTAATCGAATTTTGTATTATGAAATAAAATTAACGTGATTTTTTAATATCAAACAGATGCCACGACATTTTATGTAAAGAGAAGACCTTTTATAGAATATTTCGTTAGCGTTTATTTACTACGGACTTTTCTGCAAGAGATTACAGTAAAATGTTGAAATAGAATATATTGTTAATAGAGCAAAAAATGTTACTCATTGTCTACGAGTATTATAAAAATAGCATGTGCGCAGGCTAATACTGCAAATCTGCCCTTATGAGTTGAACATTATATTTTTTCTACGACTATTACATATTATTAAAAATTAGTCAAAATGAGAAAATGCTGTTTTGTATTGTAACCTCAGAAAAAAGTATATTAAGGCTTCTTTCTTTAAGAATATTAATTATTATAAAGGACGAGTCACATAAAACTCTAGAAATGCATATGTCTGAAACCAGATAACATTTTAAAATTTAAATCTATTAAAAGTCATTTGGTCGCTAGGGATGAGTGATTATCGAAATAAATTATCGAATCAATCGATTATTTTCAAATAATATATTTTTTGTCATTTCCTTTAAAATCGACTACTTGATTATATTTGAAAAATCAAAAATAATCGATTAATTAAAAAACCAATAGAGGACTTCTATACAAGGGAAGTGCAACCAACTTGACAAAATAAAATTGACACTAATGACATAAGAAATCGGGTCACATAAAGAGACTGTTTTTTAGTTTGATTTTTGGTTTTTCCTATCTACTTTCATGCCATTTGCATACCTTGTTGTACCCGTAACGTGAAAAAGACATTTTAGTTTAGGGTATTTTACATTTAAAGGTTGAAATATTTTGTCATTGTCAGCTGTCAATTATGTTGATGATAGAACACAGGCGTAACCATAGATGGGCATAACGTAATTAGTATTGTATGTTGGTTGTATATTTCATAGAACTTGTATTCGTAGCAGCAGCATTTTGCAATCGACATAAATAAATAAAACCAAATGAAAAATAATGTTTCAAGAAAGCAGGAGAAACACATTTAGACTAATAACAACAAAAAATAAAATGCTACGCTTATGTTTTGACATTATCGACAGCTGATATTGACAAATGTTTTCAACCTTTAAATGTAAAATACCCTAAAATAAAAAGTCTTTTTCACGTTACGGGTACAACAAGGTATGCAAATGGCATGAAAGTAGATAGGAAAAACCAAAAATCAAACTAAAAAACAGCCTCTTTATGTGACCCGATTTCTTATGTCATTAGTGTCAATTTTATTTTGTCAAGTTGGTTGCACTTCCCTTGTATAGAAGTCCTCTATCAACCGATAAATCAGTGTTTACAAAATATAATATAAATAGAATTATCGTTTATTTTAAATAATCGATTATTTTCAAATAAACCATTTTTTTTCGTCCATGGAAACAGATTATTCGATAATCTTTGAAAAATCGGAAATAATCGATTAATCAAAAATAATCGATTAATTAAAAAGTCGATTAACTGATAAATCGATTTAAAAAAAAGCAGAATGATCGATTATTTTAAATAATTGATTATTTTCGATCAATCGATTATTATCAATAATCTATTTTTATTGTATTTCATTTAAAATCGATAATTCGATTATCTTTGAAATACCAAAAATAATCAATAATTCCAAAATAATCACCTAATCAAAAATAACCAATTAATTAAGAAGCCGATTCTATGATAAATCGATTTTCCAAAAAATAAAACGAATTATCTATTATTTTCTAATAATCCTGTTTTCATATTTCCTTTTGAAATTGATTATTCGATTATCGAAAATAATTGATTATTAAAAAGCTGATTATCCAATAAATCGATAATTTTAAAACAATAACAAAAATATCGATTATGTAAAATAACCGATTATATTCAATCGATTATTTTCATATATCTTTGAAAAATCGAAAATAATCAAATAATTAAAAAACCGATTAAAAGATAAATCGATTATTTTGAATAAATCTACTTTTTTTGTATTTCCTTTAAAATCGATTAATACATTATCTTAATAAAAAACGAAAATAATTTATTAAAAACAGCGGATAAATCGATTTTCATTAAAAAATATCAGAATTATCGATAAATCGATTATTTTTGTAATCCCTATCGGTCGCTTGCTTTTATCTGAGCATTTAGCTCCAAAATTTAGAGATTCGGATTTTTTGATCCAGTTATCTTTGAAATCGCATTTGATTGTATAATAAATAAATATTGCTAAATTTTGGATTTTTTTTAGTAAACGAAAATTATGTTCGAGTTGTTTAGGGGTTTGTAATATAACATTTTATTAACGTGACTAAGGGTCGATTCCGCCGTTGTGTTAAACGAAGTTTAAAATGACATTTTTACATTAACACTGTCATTTTAATCTCCGTTTAACACAACGGTGGTATCGGACCTAACTCCTGTAACTTTAGTATTTTTTTTTGCTTATACTAGATTACTTTGTTTTAAGACTGAAAATTCAATGTCACTTTCGATTTGACCGCAAATAAGATGAACCTTGAAATTTTAAGTAGGTCATCCTGTATTTCATCTAATATTCTTATAAAAATACCTTATAAAAATAAAATTTAGCTAGCAACTATGATTCTGTACCTCTTATTTATCTACCAAAAAGGGCTAAAAACTACCTTTAGAAAACATTCTTATAAAACTACTTTTTAAATACAAAATTTCGTTAGCAATAATGCCTATTTACTATTTATTTAAATTAAATGTTCAAAATTTTACCCTTTTGTAAATTTATGTAAGTAATATGAAATCTGATTTCTGATGCTTAATATTTATTGAAACCCCTTAATGCGGATCTGAAGTATTCAGCCCAGAGAATCATGGCGCTTTATGTCAAAACGTTAATAAATATTTACCGCTGAAAACGAATATATTCATAACAGTAGTACTTGTATTATAAGTACATACAATTTTTCAAGATACATCGTGACATTTTGAACTTGAAATTGAATAACTAGAACACTTTAAATTGCTAAAATACCAACAAATAAATCAAAAAACAGCTGTCAATGGTGATTAAACTCAGGTGGAGGTGATCGCTGAATGGAAATCGGAGCAATTCGGGTGGCGTCGTGCAACAATGATTTTCAATTGGTGGGTTACTTTGGCTTAAAATAGACAACATGCGCAGTGTGCAATGTTACATCTTCGGTCTCTTTAATCTAAGATGCATAGTTATCGCCAGAGAATCGTCAGCGATTTATCTCGGCGATATCACCAGCCATTCGCTGGCGAAAGCGCCATAACAACGACCTGTCAAATAATAGGTGTCAGTGGGAAGTTCTCGTATATCTAAGGGGGTAGCGACATAGTCTTGCATCTTGGACGCTATTTTTTAACCGACTTCAAAAAAGGAGGAGGTTATCAATTCGTCGTGATATTTTTTTTTATGTATGTTCAGCGATTATTCTTTAACACAGTGTCCGATTTCAATGATTCTTTTTTTTGTTAGAAAGAGGGTACTTCAGGTGTGGTCCCATATAAATTTGGTTAAAATCTAATAATTGGATCCATGGGAAAATCCTCAAACTCTTTATTTTTTATGTATGTTTAACGCTAATGCTTTACCATCTTGTCCGATTTCAATAATTCTTTTTTTTGTTAGAAAGGGGGTACTTCAGGGATGGTCTCATATAAATTTGGTTAAAATCTAATAATTGGATCCATGGGAAAATCCACAAACTCTTCATTTTTTATGTATGTTTAGCGATAATGCTTTACCATCTTGTCCGATTTCTATGATTCTTTTTTTGTTAGTAAGGGGGTACCTCAAGGGTGGTCCCATGTAAAATTGGTTAAGATGTGGAGACGGCATCTGCACGTTTTTGAAGTCGGTTTTTTTAAATTTTTAATTTCTAGTACTTGTTAAAGGAAATAGTAGTCGCCAAGCTTGCCAATTTATGAAGAAATGTATAAGCGGGTTTTTTAAATATTATTTTTATTGTGTTTGACATAAAATAATTAAATGTAATCCATTTATTCATAATTTTACGTATATTAGATAGAATACATCGTTTGTCGCAACCATTTCCACTGGCAATTCATTTGTTTGGAATGCCTGATATAAAAGCACGCGTACAATTTTTAGCGGCATCACAATTCTTGTCTAGCAAAAAATGGCGAAATTCTGGAGACCCCATGGCGATCGACTATGCATTGAATACTGGTGTTAGTCGTTCGTAGCTCTCAAGAATATGAAAC